CTCCCCCCACCCCCACCCCCACCAAAAGGAACTTGGCCATTTTCCCCTCTTTATATGTCTCTATATATCTACTAGGTGAAGAACAAGCTTACAAAAGTTCCTTCTATCTCTCTCAAAGAACATAAAAGAGAAAAAAAACACAAGAGATGAAATATCTCTTCTTATTTCTTGTGATTTTTAATTTCTTAAGGCTATGCTTGTTTTGTGCCTTTTGAAAAGGGTTATTAATACATTTTATTTTTTTTACTAGATACACAAAAATGAGAAAGTGAATCTACTTGGTTTTATGGTTGTATACACAATAATAGTTTTTTTTTGTTAAAAAAAATTACGGGGTTTGAAGATCCATATGATTAGGACCCTAATTTGATCATCTATTTATATTTCTCATTTAATTTTTATTTTCACTAGATAAACCATTATTCTCCTCTTCTAAATTCATATTTCTTCATCTTCTTGATTCTTGAAAATATATATATATGATCATGTAGAGATTATGAATTTAAAGAGCTAATAATTATATATATGCATATGAGTATGTGTGTATATGTATTGATACACGTCGTGTACACGTATATGCCTGGCTCCCTGTATGCCATTTGCAAAGCTCACCGTAATATATCGATGGGCCTTGTTGAATGGCGTATGAGGAGCCAAGCATATTCCGATATCGTGTATATGATGTTGATATATGTAACCATCTTGTGATATAAAGTTACCTCTTTTTTTCTTTCTTTCTATTAATTTAATTTGTTTATGTTGAGATCTAAACTAGGTTATGGTGATTGTTGAAGAATTCTTCATTCTCAGTTGAAACAGGTAAGTATTTTTTAAAATTAATTCATCCTGTCTACTTTCTAAATTTACATCATGATAATTGATTATATGTCTAGGGCTTCTTAATTTGCTTCCTATATATGTGCTTTTAATTATATTTTAAAAAAATAAGTTTGTAACTTTTTTAAAATTTGCTATATGTAATGTTTAGTGAATGTTTGATTTTACTTTGATTAAATTTTAATGTTTGGATTTTCTTGTGGTTATTATTCTACAAGAAACTTTGATATTAGTAGATGGATTAATGTTAGTGCTAAGCTAGTATTTAAGTTAAGCATATTTCACCATAGATTTTGAATCAGATTTTTATAATTTATCTTTATATATGTGTTTATACATTAAATTTTACCAGATTTTGAAAATTTTCTTCCGAATAAATTTACACTTTCTTTCATAATAATTCATTTCTTACTAAGTAAAATGCATGTCAAAACACAACTTCAAGTTTAAATAACCACAAATCTATGCTACCTGTTTTTGTTTCTGTCACCTAGAGAATTATACTTTTTATAAAATGTATTCTTACTCTTTATTGTAGTTTTTAGGATCTTTTGCAAACAAAGGAAAATAAAAAAAAACCTTTTATCTTTTTGCAATGAGTTTATAGTTGTATGAACTTATAATATATAAATATTTACACAATTATTACACAAAGTGGTAAATTAAAATAAGTGAAATTACATTTATTAGAAGGTCGTATCGTTGTTATTAATATATTTTTATTTAATTTAAATTATTTGTGATAATTTTTTTGTTTTAGGGCTTTAGTTCTTGTTAATTGAGAGGTATTTTTTGGTATAGGGATCTGTAATTAGGGCCATTTGTGTGACTCATGGGAGAGACTCATATTCACGTGATACAATAACAAAAAACAAACATGAATATGCATTTGGATTTGTTATTTTTTCTTTGTTTGAATTTAATGTTTTGAAATTAAATTTGAAGTATATAAACATGAATATTGTTGAAGTCTGTATTTTTCTACCTATTCCCATGAGGCATCCAAACTATAAGTTTTGAATATATAATATTAAGTATTGCTTCATTAATAACAAATAATATAAGTATTTTTTACTAGACAATTTTCTTGAATTTCTATGTTTTTTTTCCTATTATTATTATTATTATTATTATTATTATAATAATAATAATAATAATAATAAGATCATGTATGTAACAACAACCAAAACGTCTTAATAATATCTAAAGTGTGTTTTCAATATAATACTTCGGATATTATTATAAAAACATTATTTATTATTATGAAGATTTGAATAGTTTAATTCAAAGTTCTAAAATATTTCTATTAAAAATAGTTTATTTTTTCTTCCTTTTTATATAGATTTTGTACCTTTTTAAAAACAATATGCAATAAATAAAATCATAAAATTTACTATGAAAATCTTGAGGCTTAAGAATTTGGGGGCCTAAAACAAAGGTTTTACAACTTTCACTCTTGAGCTATCTCCGCTAACAATATACTAAGTATAATTTTACAATTCGGGTAGATAGGTAACCTTACAAGTTACAGCTAGTGAAGGTAAAGATTAATGCATTTCATAGACCTTCTACTCAAATAAAACATAATAAAATAAAGTATGAAAAATAAAAATTCAAAAGCGAAACAAATATACCGGACATAATGAAGAAGAGAAAACAACATATATAGTATATGCATGTGAGTAATTATAATAAAACTAACAATGAAGACTAAGCGATTCTCGACTTCATACTTACTAATCTTATATTCTATTTGTTTGTCTTTATATCATTTTATTTAGGATCATTGTTCTCGATAAACTGAAAGCGTATCATATATATATATATATATATATATATATATATATCTTGTGTAATAATTTAATTTCATGTTTGTATCCCTTTTTTAATGTTAGCTTTTGCATTCTTGTCCTAGTTTTTTGAACAACTAATTAATGTATTACTGATCAGATTTTATTCTGGCCTGTCTTTTATACATTTTACAGTGTTTGGAAGGACATTCTTTTGTTTGCACAAATTTGTCTTAGAAAATGATGATTACTTCTATTTGTAGAAAATTATTGTAGGGTCACATGTTGGATTCTGACCTCTTAACACAAGAAACAAAAACAGAAAAAAAAGACAAATTTTTATTAAAGAAATATTTGATGTTGAAATTGAAAAATGTATTATGATCATTGAATTTGCACATGAATTTTACTTTGAAAAGAAAAGAGAGTTTTTAGTTTTATGAGAGAAAAATGTTTTTTTTTCTTTGAAATACTTCTCAAACAAGTTTAATTTCTTAAACTTTAAATCCTCTCTTTTAAGTTGAAGTTAAAATAATAGAAGTAGATTGAATTTATGATACACCTATTTAGATTTTTCTAAAAAAAAGTTGTTAATATTGATCCTTTGTTCTAATTTGCGTGACATTATTTTTTTTGTTAATTCATTTTGAAATGATTTTAAATTTGGAAAGAAGATTTACTCTTACAAATTTATTCGATGAGAGTTCTTACAACTACAAAAATAGGGATATGACATGTTTTAACGCTAAAAGTTTCAAAAAATTTACAATAGCCACTACTATACTTAGATTTAGACGTTAACGAAAATTTTCGTCGTGACATTTCATTTTTAGTCTACAAAATTTGAAAGTCTCTTTTATTTCTTGAATTTCGTATTCAGTCAAATACTATCACATAAAAATATTTTTATGTACAAATATTTAAATATAAACCATGCATGCTTTCAAGTTGGTACGAACTACGAACTATGGGATTCTTTTAGGGTCAGAGCTTAGCTAGGTCAGTTACTATCCAAGAATAATTTGTACAATATGTGATTTACAACTTTACTTTATGTTATGTGCATGCACTTTCACAACTCAATAACTTCTTAAAATATGTTAATTTTGTTGATTCGATTCTGACTTTATAGAGCCTGTGTTATTAATTGTCCCCGCTCCCATAATTCTAATAAGAGGCTTTTGTTTTTGGAATAAACGATAACATTTTGTTGATGCCTCGCGAGTTACCTTGTAATGTTTTACCTATAATTGTATCGGTTAATATTAGGTATTTAATGCTCTATTTTGTTCTAGCTTGTCTTATAGAAAGGGTTATAATCATAATTATCTAGAGATGTGGCGAGATAGATAGCATCCTTTTATTCTTGATTGGAACTTTCAATCGAAGCTTTTGAAATAGAGAAAATCATGATAGAGTGAGTTTTTCCTTTTAATGAGTTATATTCAATGTGAATTTGAATTAGTCATATCAGTCGTACATTTCTCACTGAAATACATTATACATACAAAGTCAAAATTACTTTTACATGTATTTATAATGAATATTGAATCACTTTAACTTCGATGAATGTTTACTTATTAAAATTTTGAATCATATCGTTAAAAATTCTGACCATGCCATTGTATATTATATTATAATGTGTTGGAGAAAGGGAAAATTTTCACTTTTTTTTTTCACTTGGCTTTTTACAATACCTATGTTCTATGGCCATCTCTTACTCTAGTTGGTTACTACTTACTAGGGAACATAACATGGTCAAAAATTGAAGAAAAGTAAAAGCATGCATATAAAAATATATACTCCATATTCCTTCTTGGAATTAAGAAAAGAAAAAGAATAGAAATCAGCTTTTCCTAACCAACATATCGGTCACCCCCCCCCCCCAAAATCCAAACCCCAACCTTACCAAAACACAACTAGTAACATTATATTTGGAATAACTAATTATTTTAACGATGTGGCTTAGTGATTAATAAAGTTAGAGAAGAATCATGAGATCTAATGTTCAGATCTTAAAAATAATAAATTCTAGCTATTATTTTTATTTGTTCAAGTTTTAGTAAACAGATTTTAACCAACATATGTTCAGTACAAAAATAATAAAAAATTTGCAACGGATAACTTTAATCGTTAAATAAAAAAATTATCTCCCTAATGAATTACTTTAGCGACATGTTAATGGTGATTTTCATAACTAATTCCATCTTTTCAGAAGCTGATTACTACTCGAGGAAATTAGTTGAGGTAAGCTCAAGTTAACTTGAACAACATTGTTAAAAAAAACTCACTATTCACTTATTTGTGATTATCTTTTCAATTAAATTATTAAATAATATAAAGTTATTTTGATTTTAAAAATTCATAAAAGTTAAACTCAACTAGTAACAAGCTAAAAGTTTTCACCAACCAAAACCTACAAAGGTTCTTTTACCTCTAACCAAACTCCTATCCACAAAACATTCTTCTGAATTGCCAGCTTATTGTCTGAATCTGAAAAGAAAAAGACAATAAAAAAAATAATAAAAAGAAAAAAGTGGATAATAGTGGCCACTAAAACTCTCTTTTACTTTTTCTTTTTTAAGGGAAAAAAATATTCATAATCTTTAATCTGTAAAAAGTAGTGTCCTTTTTATTTCTTCTTTTTTTCACTTTTTCACTTTATTATTACCTCAATTTCTGATGAATAATTTACTGTTTAACTTTATTCTTTAACAGTAAAATGGACAGCCCCTTTTTCTTGATTGCCACCTTAGTGCTGTTTTTGTACATTTTTTTTTCTGACTCAACATTACCTTTATTTTTGTATAATATTCCTTTTACATAAGTAAAATATTCTTAATTTTGTAAAAAAGTCAATTTGCTTTTGTATTATTTGAAATTAGACATTTTACCTTTGGTTAAATTTTGGTGTAATGTATAATGAAAGGTAAAATGCCTAATTTCAACTTGATACAATATTACTTATTTGTAAGTGACAAGTATGTGAATTAATGACAAAGTTAAAGAAATATTATCAAGAGGCGATCAAGACT